AAACAAAATACTAAGATGTCAAAGTGAAATACTCCAAAAATAGTCCCCATACAACTCTTTGACTATTTTCGAATATTCCTCCTGTAGAGGGACGGGCCCGACTCAGACACTGTGCACAAAACCACGTCGGGGATCTGGGCTGCGCGACCGGCCGCCCCCCGAAACGCCAGCACGTTCACCACCTCGACCGATCCCGGGTCGGCGGCGGCGCTCCGCCTGGAGCGCCGGCGGCGGGGCCGCCGCCGGTCGACGCGGCGCAAGCCTGCGCACGCGTGGCCTTCAGTCGGGCGTGCCCCTCTACGGGAGGAATGTCCAAAAATAGTCCAGAAATAGTCTGGGAAAGATTTTGGGGGGGGCTAGTTTTTGACCAGGTTGGACCATGGTTGCGGCATGTTTGATTTTTCGTCCAAAATCCCCCAGTTAGAGGCCTCCTAGATGGGGTCGGAGTAGATGGGGTCGGAGGATCGCGCTGCATGGGCGATACATCGGCGATGCATCAGCGATGCATCGGCGATGCATCGGCGATGCACCGACGATGCATCGCCGACGTCGGCGACGCATCGGCGACGCCGGCGTGGAGAACATCGGGCTCCGCATCGAGCCGCATCGGCGATGTATCGCCGATGCGGCGCGATCCTCCGACCCCATCTACTCCGACCCCATCTAGGAGGCCTAGACCAGTAGGGGGACGCGCCCGACGTAAGCGTAGCCGACGAGGGGGGCTCCGGCACGAGGCCTGGGCAGCAGGAAGAGTCCAAACATAGTCTGGGGACTATTTGGTGAGTACTTTCGGACCTTCTTGGGGTATGGTTGGGGTACTTGTTATTTTTCGTCGAAGCTCCCCCTGTAGGCGTAGCCGGCGAGGGGGGCTCCGGCACGGGGCCCGGGCAGCAGGAAGAGTCCAAACATAGTCTGGGGACTATTTGGTGAGTACTTTCGGACCGTTTTGGGGTATGTTTGGGGTATCTATTTTTTGTTGAAAATCCCCCTGTAGGTCGGCAGAGTCCTGGGCGGGCCTTTTTTGTCCCGTGTCACGTACTTCCAGCGAGTACAGCAGGAGAAAAGCATTGATCGTTGTTATCGTTGTTATCGTTGTTACCGTTGTTATCGTTGTGATCGTTGTGATCGTTATCGTTATCGTTGTGATCGTTATCGTTATCGTTGTTATCGTTATCGTTATCGTTGTTATCGTTGTTATCGTTATCGTAGCCGGCGAGGGGGGCTCCGGCACGAGGCCCGGGCAGCAGGAAGAAGAGCCGCACCAGCTCGTCGACGACGAAGAAGGTGGCCCGCAGGCCTGCCGGGCAGCGCGGCGAGGCACTGCGGGGCCCGGGCCGAGGGGCCTTGGGCAGGGGCATCCCGGGCAGCACACCTTCCTCCTCATCATCTCTACGAATAAATACCTGAATAAGACGTAATGCATCCCCTCAGCCTTCCTCCTCCTCCTGCCTCCTCACATCTTGTCCCTCCGTCTTACTAATCCACATTCCTGTCCTACTCCCCCTTAATCAACCTCTCTCATACTCATCCCCCTCATCCCTCACCGCGCCTCTCCTCCTCCCCCCTCTCCTCCCTCTCTCCTCCCCCTCCCCCTCCTCCCCCTCCTCCTCCTCCTCCTCCTCCTCCTCCTCCTCCTCCTCCGCCGCTTGGGAGGGGGGGGCACGACAGGGGGGGGGGGACCAGCGCACGGAGGGAAGCATCGACCTGGAATCGGCGACGTATCGCCGACAGATCGGCGGTAGGCTTGCGAGAACGACGCCGCACGCTCTGGGGCGGGGTGGGCTATCAGGCCCCAAATCGGGGATCATTGGGCGATAGAGGGTCGACGCATCCTCCCCTGAGCCTATCCCCCCCTAACGTTGCCGTTGCCTTGTGATCCACCTCCACATCCTCCGTGACGATCTTCTTTGGGGAGCGCTCTCGGCGTTCTTGCCACACCTCGATTCACGCCCTGGTGGGATCCCCATCCGTTGCGAACGGAAACATTGTGATGAGGTCGTCTCTTCTTTATTAAAACGCTCTGAACGTTTTTAAACTAAACAACTGATATCAAAACGCTCCGTTTTTTGTTGTTGCGTTTTTACCTCCGTTGTTTAAGCGTTCTTTTAGGCCCGTCGCTGTGGATCATCAATGTTTGGGCGTTTGTGTTTTTGTTTTCTGGTCGAAACCTGTTCCTTGCCTTTCCTGCTCCCTTCGCTCCCGCGCGCTGTCGTTCCTGCCGCAGTCCTCCCTCGCAGAGCACCAAACGCAACAGTACATATCAACAGAAAAACGCTCGATGAACACAACGCAAGTATCCACATATTCCAAATCCCTTATTAATCGTCACCCAGGCCCGGTTTTCTAAGGCGCCTTCTTTGTAATTGGGGGGGACCGGTGTATTAGGGCGTTTCTTTTGATTGGAGCCTAAGGGGTCCCGTTTGTTAAGGTGCCCCGTCGAAGAAGGGGGTCCGGAATATCAGGTCGCATTTGGAGGGGGGTCCGGTCTTTTAGGGGGGGTCGATTAGTAAGGTATTTGGTGTAAGCTTCAAATGTCCACATAAACATCCACACATATAAACATGAAATATCAACATCAACACCTGTTCAACACCGGCCCGAAACGGGCACGGAGGCCCGCAGTTCTCCCTCGCAGAGCGCAGCACCAGTATTCAAACACAGCACCAGCATCCGCATAGACACAGCACCAGTATCCACCAGCACTAGTATCCACAACGCTCGATGAACACAGCACCAGCATCCACAGAAGCATCATATGTCCACATAAACATCCACAAATATAGAAACGCCAAATATCCAAACAAACACCTCGTCAGCACCAGCCCGAAGCGGGCACGGAGGCCCGACGGCCCCATCAGGAGGGGCAAGCGGCCATCGGGCCCGGAGGCCCGTCGCCCCAGCCAGCGGCGAGGGCAAGAGAGGAGCAAGAGGAACAAGAGAGGAGGCGTCCTTTCCTCAGGGGGCTGTGCACCCGGGAAAAGGGGCTTCTGCGGGTTCGCGGGATTCGGTTCGTCTCCCTTTCGGGCTCCTCGTGCGTTTTGCTGGATTCGGCTCGCGCGCAGGCGCCCTGTTCCAGGGGTCGGGGTCTAGCATAATTTCACGACGTGCAAGTCCCTCGGCAACCGCTGCGTGCTCACTTGCCCAAAGTGCAAGGGGGCAGGCAGGACCCAGGACGTCAAGCACTGGGCGGCGGACTGCCCCTACAGCCGCTGACGCACACGAGTCGGCGCCAGCCCCCGGTCAATGGACGCTCCGCTGGGTGCACGTATGGTTCTGCACATGCGTTTCTTTTCTTCGGCGCCATTGTCCAGGGCGAGAGTTTTAATTGTGCCTGCCGGCAGAGTCCCTGCCAGGCCGTTCCCGGCGCACGTCCTTTCGTTTCTTCCGCCGCGTGCCTGCGTCTCAAGCAGGCGCGCGCCCCGGGCCAACCCCCGCGACCCAGTCCGAGGCCGCGCCCGGTGCCCTTGAAAAAAAAGAGCGCCAGTCGTCGCATCACCGTATGCTCCCCCCCTCATCCTGCTTTCTCTGTCCCTCGCCTGCCCTTCGCTTTCGCCCCTCCCGCTCCGCCCCTCTCCTTTCCTACGCAATCCCGCCCAGGGATCATCGGCGGGCGCGGGTCGACGGTCACCGGGTACACGCGCCATCTATAGTTACTGCTGGGGGGCAGAGAAATCACCAGGGACCGGGGCCGCGGCCCTGGCGGCCTCATTCAACACAGTTCTGTGTAAAAGACGTACGATTGCTTCACTTTTTTGCCGCTCTGGCAGGGAAGAAAAACACTTCCTCGTCGCGCGTGGTTTACCGGATCCGCGCACCGTTGCCCATGAGTATTGCCGTGGCCACAATATCCCCGGGGGCCGCGCACGGCAGGGCCCAGGCGGCCCCCGACCGCCAAGAAAACGTGCAACAAAAACATACGATTGGTGCACTTGTTTGCCACCTGGCGGGGGGTAGAACACCTTCGTCGCCGCCCCCCCCCCAGCCTGTTGGTCGACAGGGAATGGCCGCCGCGACCCAAAGCCTTTGGGGTTCGAGATGAAGCGCGGCCCAGGATCGCCAGAGCCCGCGCGCCGCCAGCGCCTCGGCCCCGCCTGTTTGCACCGCGACGATTTCGATCGCCCCAGGCCGGCGGCCGACAGAGCGTCTTCCGACGGGCCTCGCGCTGCACCTTCGCAGGCATCCGCGGTGCCCCTGGGGGAGACCCGCCCCGGCGACGCACACTGGCGCCCTAGCACGTCAAACGGGGCTGTTGGGGCCCCCGCGCTGCAACACGAACCACTTCGAGCCCCGCCGATGGACGCACCAGGCGCGCGCCAGCTTCTGAGTGAGGGCCCCGATCTCTTGTCTTTAATTCGCGAGAGCACCTCTGTGGAACAGGGGGCACATCGCAGCAGGGCCATATCAGCAATTCACTGCTGCCTCCAAGCAGCCCTGGAGGAGAGCACGAAGAAGCGGTATAGCAGCTCCCTGCATACTGCCGTAGATTCTTTCGAGAATTCCTCAGGGCTGCAACTTTTGCCGTGCGACTCAGACGTGAAATTCATGCTGTTGTTTGCCCAGATGGACGGCCGGTCCTGGTCATCCGTCACGAATCTGCGCGCTGCAGTGCGGTGTTGGCACCAGCAGCGCAACTTGACATCGCAATTTGACAGTGCATGGACGGACCGGTCGGCCCAATTGTGGAGAGGTCTGAAGAAGCGGGCCGACCATTCACGGTCACACGCAAAGCGCCCGGTATCTCTCGAAGAATTGCGGTGTTACCAGACCGCACGCCTCAAAGCAGGCAGCCTGGCCGCTGTCCGGGACGTCGCTATAGCAGCCGTGTCTTTCTTCGGCGTCCGGAGGGTTTCCGAGACTCTCGCGCTCCGGCGTCGAGACATATCTTTGCACGACAATTTCGTGTCTATTTCTGTCGCCCGGTAAAAGAACGACCCTTTCGGACATGGCATGGTGTGCCACATCCCAAAGATGGTCGACACCCCCAGCCTTTGCCCATGCCGCGTCCTGCGGGAATGGCTGGTGCAGCGGGACTCGCGCTGGGGTTCCGACCCGGATGCGCCCGTGTTTTGCACGATTCATTTGGCGGAGCCCCGCCCCATGAATTGCGACTCCTTCCGCCGAAATCTTTCACAGTTCTTTCAGACCGCCGCAGTGGGGACACACTCACTGCGAAAAGGCGGTGCTCACTGGTACAAGACAGTGTGCTGCTTGCCGGAAGAGTTGGTGCAGGCTCAGGGCGGCTGGTCGGCCCCTGAAACCATGCGAGCATTTTACGCTCGTTTCTCAGATTCAGAACGGTGCGATCAGCTGTTACGCGCCATGTCTACAGCTTCGAGTGGCGTGGCGGTCCCAGCCACCACTCATTATCATACGCGTGTTTCACCTATGCCTCTGTGGAGGCGCCTCACTGGGAGCTTGTAAAAACTCGCCTCCTCGGGGTTGCGCCTGTCCAGTGCTCCTGGCGGCCATTCCTGGGTCGCCACGGACCTGGCCAGGCCGGCCTGCAGCTCCATGAGGCACCCCACACGAGGCATATGTTGCCAGCACAGGAGACACCGCCTTGGACTTGGAGGCAAAAACAATTCCTTACCGATTCCTTCCCCCAGTCACGGGGCACCGAACAGGCAGAACTGCACGCCTGCACGTCCTTTTGTTCCTCCTCCTCCTCCTCCTCCTCCTCCTCCTCCTCCTGCCTCCTCCTCCTCCTCCTCCTCCTCCTCCTGCCTCCTCCTCCTCCACCTTCTGCCTCCACAAGAGGACTGCACGAGTGCACGCCAGGAGAAGGAACTGAGGACGTCGTCAACGGCAGCGTTGCACCATGCAGCCAACTGATCTGAGCACGCTGAAGAAAAAATACATAAAAGTGCACAACAGCCGAACCGTGTTTTAGCGTTTCTAGCTTTCCTGTTGGGGCCAAAGGGGGCTAGAAACATGATATCAAGCACTCCGAATTAAGCACGTTTTTTGGTGTTACCCCAAAAGTGCCCTGGGCATTTAAACATAACCAAGTTGATGAACATTCGACGAAGGTACTCCACTCGGATCAAATCGACCGTAAGGGCGCTGACACTTTTCATGTTTCTTCCCATAGTGTGCACTTCGACAACTGTCTGCCTTGGTTTCCTGAGGTTTGCCGTGTGTGAATGTGCGGTTCTGGATGGACTGAGCATAAGCAAATTTCAATTTGCATGACTCCTTCGCCTGTGACAAACTTGGGGATCGGAACGTGATTCCAAGACCATTTTTGCACAAATAAGTGCATCGGCGCAGAGAAAGGGAAGCTAATCCCAAAACCTCGAAACTCGGAAGGCGCAATGTCCATCGGCGTATTGGCCTCTCTTGTGTACAGTCCCACTCTCCTGTCTGCCACGTCTCAATGAATGAATGGGGAAGGCCAGTAGCATGTGGGCAGGGATGTCAAAGTACACCGCAGCAGTCATCCTTCCCCTCCTGCTCATCCTCCTCCCACCCCCATCTTCACCATCTGCCGACTCGCCCTCAGCCTTGTCCTCATGGTTGCCCCTTGCCCTCACCCTCCTCCTCTTCCTCCTCCTCATCATGGCCCTCACGCTCATCACCATCAGCAGAATCAACACTAACCTCGCCGTCGTCCTCGGCCTGATCGTCGTTGTCGTCGTCGTCGCCATCGGCGTCGGCGTCGCCGTCGTCCTCGTCGTCGCCGTCCTGGAGCCCCACGGGCTACAGCTGGATCCGGAGGAGGATCCGGAGGAGGGGGAGGAGGGGCAGGAGGAGGAGGAGGAGGAGGAGGAGGAGGAGGAGGAG